CTTTGTCATTCGTGGAACATGCCTGACATCATTCACGGTACAGAATGAACCATCATGTGTCCGAACCTTTATGGACCCGATTCCAACAACCTTGCAGACAGCTCCATTAGCCATGACCACGTTACCACCATCTATCTGCTCGTAGGTTGTGAAGCAATCCATGTTCGGAGACATATGATATGAGGCTGCAGTATCCAGAAACCACACATCACCAGGATGTGCCTTCTCATCTACAGCCAAGGCGAGATCGTCTTCAGAACTGTTGTCCACTTCTGCCACGGCAACTGAACCTTGTTTCTTCCGTTGCCCTCTTCTCTTGGGACAGTTGTACTTCCAATGCCCCACTTCCTTATAGTTGTGACAAGCATCACCTGGCTATGGACCAGGACCCTTGGAATTCTTGCTCGAATTCCCTTTACCAGATTTCTTCTTTCCCTTTCCACCTGTAACAGCCAAACCCGATGCCTCACCAACAGTACCAGATCCGGACGCCTTATGTCTGATCTCTCTCGTATGAAGAGCAGACCTGACATCCTCCAACGACACGCTTTCTTTACCAGCAATAAAAGAATCAACGAAATTCTCATATGAACTCGGCAAAGAAACCAGCAGGATTAGGGCAGCATCCTCGTCATCAACTTGAACATCTATATTACGCAGATCCAGCAAAATAGAGTTAAGTTGTTCGAGATGTTCCCTCAAAGGCGTACCTTCTTGCATCCTCAAGCTGAACAACCGTTGCTTGAGATGCAGCTTGTTGGTTAGAGACTTAGTCATGTACAGACTCTCTAGTTTCAACCACAAGCCCGCGGCAGTCTTCTCAGCAGCGACTTCAATGATGACGTCATCAGACAACGATAGCATGATGGTCGAGTGGGCCTTCTCCTCCAGGGTATTCCACTCATCGTCATCGACCGCTGCCTTCTTCTGTTTCGCAGACAGCGGCCCCCACAGCCCTTGCTGTTTTAATAAAGCCTGCATCTTGATCTGCCATATAGCGAAGCTGTTCTTCCCCGTGAACTTTTCGATCTTCATGTTCACCGACGTCATTCTTCTGAATCGAAAACCCTAGCCTGATTTCCAACCAGGCTCTGATACCACTTGTTATAAACGCGCTGCTACGGATCGGGAAATCGCTGGAATCGACAAAGCAAGAATACGAAAGCGAGAATCGAAAACTCGACACACGATTTACGTGGTCCACTAACACGATGTGTGTTAGCTACGTCCACGGGCGAGAGAGAGCCAATTTCACTATATCGAGGAGATTACGGATTATAGAGGAGTATGAGAAGTATTTATAGCACTTCTCCATGTGGGTCTAAACCTAATCCAATATGACAAAGGAAACGGTTACAGACCGTAGCGGCTGATAATCCGATTCAAGTCATATCAACATAAAGAGTGTCCTAAAGAAGCTAGATAATCAACCACATAATTGAGCTATCCATATTATTTTCCTTGAAAATACGTGTCCACCAAAATAAAGAGTGTCCTAAAGAAGCTAGATAATCAACCACATAATTGAGCTATCCACATTATTTATGAGTGATTGATTAATTAATTGCTGGTGGAAATAATAATGGCGGTGTAACGATTGTATCTCTTTGTCTCATACTAATCCTTGTGTGTACTATCAGCACTGAAACAAAAGAAAAAAGTTACGTTAAAAAGTAGATTGTTTAATAGATTGATTTTCTTTGTACTGGATTGGAATGTAAAGGAGGAAAAAGAAATCCCCGACCCTGAGACATCGCTGCCTTTTAAGTTTTAACGTCTTCTTGAAGAAATTAAGTCCACGACGGCACGACCGACGTCATCCAAAAGGTAATCTAATTCTCTCCTATTTCGTAATGAGATTATATATTTGTCGAAAAAAGTGTGATGGATAATGTATTATTACTTATTGCTTATATTTATTAGTTTTGTTGTGTATTCGGCTGTATACCATCTCCAACAAGGAATTGGAAAACCAAATGGTTTTGGCATTTTGGCACTTCGAAAATGATATTTGATCCAACAAGCATATAAAAAAATGCTAAAATATCAAAATGTCAAATCTTTACTTTTTTAATAATATAGTTTAGTGTAGATTTCATAATTAGATAGTTTGTAGATTATTTGTATACAAGTAGTAATAATTAATTTAGATGAATATTTTGATATATTTTTAAATTTTTTATATAAAAAAAATTTATCATTAAATACCATGTATGAATGACGAAATCATAATAATTTGTTCAAATTGACCATAGACTCCTAACATGTTTGTCAGATTCAGTGGTGTCATCAATTGTGGTTTTACTTTAGTCAGAATGAGTTGTGTCATCAACTGTTCATTCAGCTTTAATCAGAATGAGTTGTGTCATCAACTGTTCATTCAACTTTAATCAGAATGAGTTGTGCCATCAACTTTTCATTCAGCTTTAATCAGAATGAGTTGTCTCATCAATTGTTCATTCAACTTTAATCAAAATGAGTAGAGTCATCAGTTGTTCATTCGGCTTTAATCATGTAGAGTTGTACCATCATCTACAAGACAACCATTGTTGCAGAAGGAATCATTTCGTGCTTACTAGTGATTTTCGCATGCTTGCATATGGATGCTCAGCAGACTCGTTAGATGAGAGCACCAGATTGGAGTGTTTGAGGAATTTCTGATTGGTTATCACCAACATTTATGGTGCCCAGTACTTGCGTGCACCAACAGTGAAAGATACTCGTCACCTCCTTCATCATGCTACACCAAACAGTGGATTGTCCCCCGCGCGTTCCATACAATCCCCCTGCGCGCGTCGGCTTCTTGAAAAAATGTGGAGGCCGACTCAAGTGAGAGAGTTTGGCATTTCTTGTCTTTTTAAAGTTGGTAATTGGCTGAATTTTTGGCATTTTAATTTTTCCCAATTGTTGTTGGAGGAAGTATTTTAACATTTTTGGCATTTTGCCTTAGTTATTGGAGATGGTCTTAATAGAGAGTAAGAGTTTATTATTATGAATTATGATTGTTAGAATTTTAATAGGTTCTGGTTTCATGGCCTACTAGGGACTAGTAAACAGGTGGACTGGGCCATTATTTGGCCGTGTCAGAAACTATTACTCATTTTGAGTGATTGTTATATCTCAACTTTTAGTTGTGATTGTTGAGATAATTGAGTTGAGATTGTTTTGTCTAAACTTTTAGCTGATGCGACATACACAATCACACATACCAAACATTGTATTCTACAATGCATCAAATTCGATACTACATGTATAGTATTATACATGCATTCTCAACAATACATCTATTTAACAATCGCAACTTCCAAACGACCTAATATCTTATTTTGGTCCGAACTTTACTCATATATTTAATTTTGGCTCGTGGTTTCAGAAATTGATATCATGGCCTAAACTATACACTATATAGACTCAATTGGCCGGATGCGTGATTTGACCGTTTATTTGGACGGTCAACGGACCAGCTCACTGTCACGTCGACACCAAACAAAATAAAAATCAAATTACAAATTATTTATTTATTTCTTTTATGTAATTAACAAGATAATAAATAATGGTAAAAACACATATTTTATTATTTCCTTTATTTAATTTTGGGTTTTATTTCTTTTTTTTACCATTATTTACTATCTTAATAGATAAGGAAAATAGAAAATAATTTGTTAATTGATTTTTTTTAATTTTGGTGCTGACATGACAGTGAGTTGGATGACAGTCAAACCACGCGTTCGGTCAATTAAGTTTATATGGCGTATAGTTGAGGCCAAGGTAGCAATTTTTGAAATCACGAGCCAAAATTGATTATATATATATATAGTTTATGTCATAATAAGATATTAATCTTTATTATTAAGGTTTTGGGTTTTTCATATGTATGTTTTTTTGTGTTGAAGTTTAATAAGAAAAGAAGAATAATAAAGTGATTTTTGCGGTCAAGGTTTTCCGCCATTACAGATTTCCCTCGTAAGGAAAAAAATAATACATTAGAAAATTAACACATATGATCCATTTAGTCTTGATTGTTATAACTTAACGTTCTAGTTCTACATTCTGTGCTCAGAATTCAATTGGGTTAAAGACACATTTGGTCACTGAGATTACAAAATCGGGACATGTTAGTCACTAGAAAAAATTAATATCAAATTTGGTCACTACAATTACTAAAAATGGACACATTTAGTCCCTCGCCGTTAGTCTCCGTCCAACTCCGTTAATGAAGTCCGTTAAGTGATGATGTGGCAAACAGAATTGCCTAATCAGCCGGATATAACCCAACAAAAATAAAACCCGACCCGACACGTCATTATAACCCGCCACATCATTAAAACCAACCCAACCCAACCCATGACCCAACCCCACCCAACCCTTCTTCCTTCTTGGCTTCGTCCTGGGCAGAGAAAGTGGAATTGTGGTTCCAGGAAGAGAGCACAAGCAGAGTGTGGTGGTGGACTTCTTTGAGGAGATGGGTTCGCAGCCTGGCGTGGCTAAGGAAGTTGAGCGAGATGATTCTCATGTTCTTGTGCATATCTCCCACCAAAACCAGCATCGACCATTTCCCCCTAATTCCGCCGATGCTCTTTGGGTAGCTGCATTCGAACAGCTTCCCTTCGTTCTGGAGTATGAATCGGTTCAGCCCTGCGTCCGCCGACACAAGCGTCCACTCCCCGAACAAATTCGACTTGTATATCTTCCCGTACCTGCACAATCAGTCAGTTTTACTCTGTTCCACAAACAAAAATCACAAAAAAAAATCAAATGCTCTGTTTTTACCTGGTGACGTGCTGGTCCATGAAATCGCCGAGGGAAGTGGCGGAGAAAGGTCTCAAGTAGCCAATCGTCTTGCCGAGGAAAGGCCAGCCGGAGCTGCCTAGTGGGAGATTGAATCTGCGGTGGGATTTGGTTTTGAGGATGAGGAGCAGAGTGAGGAGGGAAGGGAGAAGGAAGAGAACCACACGAACTAGCTCTGACTCAGACATGGAGGTCATGCTTGGGAGTTGGGACTAGGTGTCTCTCTGTTTCTCTATTGAGGAAAGGAGTTGAGTGGAGACAGAGAGATGGGTTTTTCTTATAGAGCAGGAGTAATAGTATCTTCTTTTGCTGCGGAAAGGGTCCCAGAAATCCCAGCTGGAAGACTGAGGAACCGGCGGCGGAGGCGGCGGCGGAGCAGGGGAAGCGGAGATCGAGGTCCAGGTGGTGTCGGAGCTGGGGCTCATTGGAGGAGGAGGCGGCGGCGGCGGCGGGAGAGGGGGCGAGGGGGACGGGATCGCCGGTTGGTGGCGGTGGTGGTGGTTGTAATTGGGGCGGAGGTGGGGGTGGTGGAGATTGGTTTCGATGTTGGAGAAGGTGAGAAGTGGGAAAAGGAGTTTTTTGGTTTTCTAGGTGGGTTGAAAGGTGGTGGGAGGAAGGAGGAGAGCGGCGGCGGTTTTGGGGAAAGAAGGAGGTGAGAGGAAGGAGGAAGAAGGGTTGGGTGGGGTTGGGTTGGTTTTAATGACGTGGCGGGTCGGGTTTTATTTTTGTTGGGTTATATCCGGCTGATTAGGCAATTTTGTTTGCCACATCATCACTTAACGGACTTCATTAACGGAGTTGGACGGAGACTAACGGCGAGTGACTAAATGTGTCCAGTTTTAATAATTGTAGTGACCAATTTTAATATTAATTTTTTCTAGTGACTAAACATGTCCCTATTTTGTAATCTCAGTAACCAAATGTGTCTTTAACCCGAATTCAATTATTATTGCTTACTGTACGCATGCATGGGAAAACGCAAGTAACCGGTCAGAGAAACAGAGTCGCGTCTTCTCCGCCGTTTGTTTCTCTTATCGAAAACAGCATAAAATTCCGGGCCGTTGGTGGATGGATCTCCGTTCCGTTTACGTCCGTCGGTGTATGAAGAAGAGGAATGCGATTATAGGAGTGCCACTTGCGCAACCAAGTCATATTAATATTAGCGCTCCTTTGGATCAATAAAATATTAGACAGTAATTAATTCACTGGTAAAAACAAATGATCAAAAAATTTAGGTAGTTGATGTAGTTGTTATCGTGCTTGTAATTAGGGCTGGAAGTTTGGTACCGGTATTTGGGATATACCGAATACCGTACCGAATTTGTCTATATTTGGTATTACCGAATACACGTATTATTTTGTGGGATTGAGATTGGGATTGAATTTCAATTGTTATTCGGTATTAGGGATTACGGGATTGGGATCGGTATATACCGAAATACCGATCAATACCGAAATATAAGCTAGTGTGTATTTTATCCTCTCAACTAAACTCTCTCATTCTCTACTACGCGACCATCAACCACCAAAAGTATCATTTAATTATACATAGATCATTACATCACTATTTCACACTATTATTAGTCGTCTCTCAACCTCAAATTCATCAAATTAAAGATTACCAATTACAAGAACTTGAGATGTTAGCTCTAGGCAACTCAAGACTATTTGCTTAGTCTCTTCGCTCAAAATTAAACAATAAAATCTAATTTATATATTTAATTATTAATTGCAAAGGTAATTAATTATGCATTCGATAATACCGATTGGGATACCGAGGTACCGATTGGGATACCGAAATTATTTAGGGATTGGGATTGGGATTGATTTTAGGGTGTAATTCGGTATTCGGGATTTCGGTATTTGGTATTGGGATACCGATACCGTACCGATTTCCACCCCTACTTGTAATACCAGTTGTGCTAGCGTGTGTGCTGACAAAGATATAATATACGGTTAGTAAATAGTATATGATTCAAAATTGAACATTTCCCAACAATTTGTGTTACTGGAACCAATTAGTTCTTGACATGGTATTAGAGTCTTCTATAATAGAGAGATCTTCTGTTCGGATCTCGATGACCCCATCTGTTTTTGTTAAGCATATGGTGTCCCGTGCAAACTTCAAGCCCATATATGATGACTTTCCAGATTGCTTGTCAGTTGTTTTTAGACTTTCAAATAGAAGCGGTAGCAATTTAACACTTGATCCGACAACTACAAGAATTGTGAACACGTTCTCACGTACGTCTTATCAACACAGTGTGTTTGCTTGTAAAACAGAAAACGCCACCTGGCTCCTTTTTTATTTCATCAAAATGAAAACTTACAATATCCTTATTGTATTTACATATATATAGATCTACCAAGTTCTATTAAAACAAACAAATAAACAAATATTACAAATCAGTCCTATAACTATACATTCATTACAAATCAGTCCTCAGATTTATCTTCCTCGGACAACTCCCCCCGCAAGCTGGCGCGTATATGTCCAAACGTCCCAGCTTGTTCTGCAAAAACTGAAACACAGCAATTGGAAGGGATTTGGTGAACATATCTGCCAATTGATTGGCTGAAGAGACATGAAGAACCTTAATAACACCATTCAATATTTGATCTCTAATGACATGACAATCAATTTCTATGTGCTTAGTACGTTCATGATTAATAGGGTTGTCAGCCAATTTAATAGCAGACATACTGTCACAGAAAACAGGAGTGGCAGCAGCTAAATCAACATGCAAATCATGAAGAATATATCTCAACCATATTAATTCACAAGTTAAACTAGCCATAGATCTGTACTCGGCTTCTGCAGAAGAACGAGATACAGTCTTTTGCTTTTTCGAACGCCAACTAATAAGTGAATTACCAAGCAAAACGCAGAATCCAGTAGTTGATCTACGAGTGTCTGGGCAACCAGCCCAGTCACTATCACAAAAGGCTTGTAAAATCACTTTAGAATCACTAGAGAAAAGTAATCCTTGACCAACAGTTCCCTTTAAGTAACAAAGAATACGTTTTGCTGCTTGCATATGTACATCAGTAGGAGAATGTGTAAACTGACTCAACTGATGTACTGCATATGCAAGGTCTGGTCGTGTATTACATAGGTATAAAAGTCGACCTATTAATCTCTTGTAAGAAGAAGGATCAGGAAGGAGATCACCCGATTTGGCAGACAGCTTAGGACCAGGAACAGTAGGTGAATCAGCCGGTTCTGCACTAAAAAAACCAGTGTCTGTTAAGAGATCCAAGGCAAATTTCCGTTGACACAGCATAATACCTTTAGAAGATCTATCAATCTCAAGACCAATGAAGTACTTTAATTCACCTAAGTCCTTAATAGTAAAGGTCTGATCAAGTTTGAGTTTAATATCAGAAATAGCATTCAAGTCATTTCCAGCTAAAATAATGTCATCGACATACACTAATGCAACAGTGAACGAAGAATCTACACTCCTAACAAACATAGAATAATCTGCTTTGGACTGTTTGTAACCAGCAAAAGTAAGAAAGGATGTTAATTTGATATTCCATTGGTGACTAGCCTGTTTTAAACCATAAAGAGATTTATTAAGACGACAAACAGGATTTTTAAAATGAGAAGGAACAACCAAACCTGTTGGGATTTTCATGTATACTTCTTCATCTAAATCACCATGAAGAAAAGTTGTATTAACATCTAATTGGTGCAAGAACCAACCATTAATAGCAGTTAATGAAAGAACTACACGTACTGTAGTATGTTTCACAACCAGAGCAAAAGTGTCTAAGTAATCTAAACCTGATGTTTGAGTATAACCCTTAGCCACTAGGCGAGATCTAAAATGTTCGATTGCACCCGAAGCAAGAAATTTTATTTTGAACACCCACATGTTGCCAATATGAATTTTTCCAACAAGAAGTTCAACTACAGTCCAAGTTTTGGTTCTGTCTAGGGCTGCCAATTTTGTATTCCAAGCCTCAACTCAACGGGGATCTTGTATGGCCTCTTTATAAGTGTGTGGTTCAACAATTTCAGATGTGGCAAGTATGTACTTTTGATATTCAGCACTTAGATTATCAAAACACATCACTTTCGAAATTGGATAAGAAACAGAAGAAGATGGGAAATCACACACAAAATTCTTAAGTTTCTGAGGTCGTACCTTGAGTCTAGAGGGACGAATATTAGGAGGCGGTTCAACCACTTGAATAATATCTACAATGTCAGTTTCAGGCTCCTCAGGAGGTACATGAGAAGGAGGATCAGTAGAGTTAGGTTGTGTGGCTGGAATATAAACAGAATCTGGAACTTGGATGTTAGGAAAACAAACATCAAAGTCCAGTTTATCATTCATGTTAAAAAATGGAAACACGTGTTTCACGCCACCTGTCTCCTTCTCATGTACGGTGAGTTTCACGCTCTGATACCATGTTTGCTTGTAAAACAGAAAACGCCACATGTCTCCTTTTTTATTTCATCATAATGAAAACTTACAATATCCTTATTGTATTTACATATATATAGATCTACCAAGTTATATTAAAACAAACAAATAAACAAATATTACAAATCAGTCCTATAACTATACATTCATTACAAATCAGTCCTCGAATTTATCTTCCCCGGACAACTCAGTGATCAAATTGTAGTTGTGTGATCCTCAAAATTGGTGAAGAGAGCAACAAAGTTGGGGTAATTAGCATAAATAGTCACAAACCTTTGCACTTAGTACAAAACAGTCACAAATCTTTAATTTGTAACCATTTGATAACAAAACATTTTACTTAGAACAAAACGGTCACAAATTAAACAGTGTGACCATTTCATACCAGTTCAAACTTTTGTTACCGTGTCATTGCAAATTAGACTTTTGGTGACCGTTTTGTACAAATTAAGTTCAAAAGTTTGAACGCTCAATCACCGTTACAATTCGCTCTAGTTGTATGGTGGTTTTGTTAATGTATGTGAATGATATGATCGTCATAAAGGATGACAATGAGAGAATTCAATGGCTCAAAAACGGGTTCCAGACTGCTTTTTAGTTGAAAAAACTTTGTCTACTTTCTTGGTATCGAAATTTGTTTTTGATAGATTGGTATCGAAATTGAAAGGTCAACCGAGGGCATTCTTATTTGGCAAAGCAAATATGTCGATGAACACATGAGCTGACATCTTATATGTTGTTCAAGTGGTTAGTGTCATATACTTAACGAACAAACTACCCAACCTCAAAACATGACAAACATTTAATTTGTAACGATTCGGTAACAAACCTTTTCATTTAAAACAAAACGGTCACAAATTAAATAGCGGTGACCATTTTATACAATTTCAAAGTTTTGATACCATATTGTTACAAATTAAAGATTTGTGACCGTTTTGTACTAAGTGCAAAGGTTTGTTACCATTTATACTAATTACCCAACAAAGTTGCATAAGCAAAACCAGTTTGTACGTTGTAATCCATTTTGGACTGGGGTTTATGAAGGAACAAGGAACCAATATGGAAGGTTAGTTGAACCAATTACCCTTTCCTTAATGTAGAGTTAGGTGAACCAATTTACTATGGGGAATATCAATTCCAACTATTTTTAACTACATAACCGTGTGTATTACACAACTATTACACTGAAATATCCATTGTTAAATTGGATTCAAAACATTTAATCTTTCCAAGGAAGAATCCATACTTTTTGGAATCACTTCAAAAGGACCAACTGTTTTTTATGTGTTAGATTGTTAGTCGGACATCCGTGATCCATCGCCGATAGCCCTTTTGAAAATCTCGAACTACTTCCTTTATTTTGGTGTTTAGACTTTAGACTGATGCGAAGCTATCAGCCTGGTCCATTACGATGCGCCAGTCCATGCCTGTGCACGTCCAGGCCCAGTGGACCACTATCAATGTCCGCCGACTCTAACAGCAAAAGCATCAGAAAGCCCAATTAAACAGTCCAGGCCCGCTTGCAATCTACTTGGGCCTACCTCGAGCATGAGAGCCGAACAAAGTGAATTAAAAGACAAGGGTAAAGGAAAGCCAGCTCAGTCTCAGACGTTATACTGGAGAGAGTCAAGGAAAAAGGAAGCAAGTCAATGAACATATAACTAACACTGTTGCTCTGGGATACCAAGATCCTGGAATATGAGCGGAGCGCCAAAGAATTTCGCCACCAGAAAGATGATGAATATATCCAATCATATCTTCCACCGCCGAACATCTATACCAAAAATGGCGGTGCAAAATGGGTTCCGTTTGTCTCCTTTTCAAGGTTCCACCACGGGGATTGGATTCCCGGCGCCTTCGTGGCGGATAAACATTGCGACAGAGCCATGGCGGAGTTCGATCATCTTCTCCCGATACCCAAATCAAACCCCAGGCTATAAATTCCTGGAAATGGGTAGAATCCATCACAAATCAACTTACTCAAACTGGGAATTCCAGCTTAACTTAATCTTCCCAGATTTCGATGGTAAGTGAAATCCTCTTTTATCTGTCTGTGGGTCAGTTTTTGTTTTTGGATTAGGGATTAGGTGGGTTGGTTTTGTTTTTGGTGGGTGTGGCAGAGTAACTATGGAGGCGGGAACGAGAGCAGCCATGTTTCCGTCGGACCTTGGGGAGGCGGAGCCGGAGCAAGGTGGGATGACGGCGTTTACTCTGCTGTGAGACAAGTGATCATCTTCCATGGAGCCGCCATTGATTCCATTCAGATCGAGTATGACCAAAACTGTACCTCCGTTTGGTCTGAGAAGCACGGTGGTACTGGCGGGATCAAGACAAATAAGGTTCTTCTGGCTTTTGGTCTCACTTAAGATTCCGCTTGATGAGCTTAATTTGGGGTGTTTCTGTTTGTAGATCAAGCTTGAATCCCCCGACGAGTACCTTGTGTCGATCAGTGGGCACTACGGCGGCTTGGTCGAGTCAGGACCACCACTTGTTCGATCAATTGTCTTGCAGAGCAACAGGAGAAAGTATGGGCCTTTCGGTATTCAGCAAGGAACCCATTTCTCAGTTCCAGTAGCCGGTGCAAAAGTGGTGGGTTTCCATGGCCGGAGCAGTTGGTACCTAGACTCCATCGGTGTCCACTTGAAGCATTTTCTACCACGAAATCCGTCGAAGAAACCCGAGTTTGAAGCTCAGGCTTCCAACAACAAGAAGACGGCTCCAGTTATCAATGGAACTGTCAAGGCGAAGCAGGCTGTGACTTATGGGCCCTGGGGTGGGAGTGGGGGAGACATTTTTGACGATGGAGTTTATGCAGGCGTTCGTGAAGTTCATTTGACTCGTACTAAGGGCCTTGTTTCGATTCGGGTTTGTTATGATCTGAATGGAAATGCAGTTTGGGGAGAGAAGAATGGTGGAACTGGAGGAATCAGATTGGATAGGGTAATGATCCAAACAAAATATCACTTCTTGAATGGATTCATTTGTCATCACACAAGAAAGCTAACAATTTCATGTTACTTTATTTATGGTGTTTGATTATTATGCACAGATAGCTTTCGATTACCCATCAGAAGTCTTGACCCACATCACAGGATGCTGCGGACCAACGATCCTTCGAGGGCCAACAATTGTCAGGTCGATCACTTTCCACACCAACAGAAGGAAGTATGGACCATTTGGCGATGAGCAGGGAACCTCCTTTTCCTCTGGCTCTAACAATGGGAAGATTGTTGGATTCCATGGCAGGAGTGGTGGACCGTTTGTCGACAGCATTGGAGTTCATGTCATGGAAGGAATCAGAGAAGTTAAGTTTCAACAGCAAGCTAACCCTGCTGCTCTTATGGTTAGAGGACCTTCTTATGCTCCAATAATTGCTAGAGAACCTCGCTCCCCGCGTCTTTATAATGATTCCTTCGATATGACGAGAGAAGTAAAGTTCCAGCAAGAAGCTAACCCTGCTGTTATGATGGTTAGAGAACCTTCTTATGCTCCACCAGTGATTATTGAAGAACCTTACTCACGCCATCCTGCCTATGATGATTTCTTCAATGGGATGAGAGAAATGAGATTCGCACATGAAGCTAAGCCTATTACGGTTAGAGAAGCTTACCCTGCAGCCGGATTGACTTCAGCTTCATGGAGATCAGGGTTATGGGGTGGCGAGAGAGGGCAGCCGTGGGATGATGGGATATTCTATGGAGTGAAGAAGATTTTTCTGACGAGAGGAGAAGCTATCTGTTGCATACAATTTGAGTACGATGGCAAGGGTGGACAATCTGTTTGGTCAGCTAGGCATGGAGGTGGCAGCGAAGTCAACAGTCACTCTGTAAGCAATCTGCCTACTTGGTTTATTGATTATTGATCGCTTCCAAATAACGCTGTTCTGCCTGGAATGGTATATAATCCATAGTTTCATCAGAATTTAGAGATCTTGATAATTCCAAGTTAACACTCACTCTGTAAGCAATCTGCCTACTTGGTTTAGTGATTATTGATCGCTTCCAAATAACGCTGCTCTGCCTGGAATGGTATATAATCCATAGTTTCATCAGAATTTAGAGATCTTTATTATTCCAAGTTAAAGGTTATAGTTCGAGTTGGTGAACTAATTGTTTTGCATGTGTAACTAACTTCAATGGCATATGGAGACACAGATCAACTTCGAATACCCACAAGAGGTCCTAACAGCTGTGTCCGGCTACCATGGCTCCCTGACCGGCGGTGACAGGAGCGACGTCATAAAGTCTCTGACTTTCCACACCAACAAAGGGAAGTATGGGCCGTACGGGGAAGAAAGGGGAGCATTCTTCACATCTACTGCTGAGGGTGAAGGAAGGATTGTTGGGTTCCATGGAAGAAGTGGATGTTACTTGAACGCTCTGGGAATTCACATGCAGCAGCAGCAACAACAACAACAACAACCAGTTTTCTACCGTGGTTTGGAGTCATCGATGGTCGGAGATCGAGTAGTCAGCAGGCACGTTAAGACGGTAGCAACAAAACTGATCAAGTCAAGCCACATGTTCAGCACCTAATGAACTAGAAACTTGGGATTATGTCTTTCGTTATGTATCCTCGGTTGGGTTTGTTGGTTAATGGTCCAAGGGTTCAATACTAGTTACTACCCTTTATGAACAAGAAATAAGGCGACATAAGTGGTATTAAACGATATCACTATCTTGATAAGGAATAAGAACTCGAACACTTATTTGGCAGGGAAGAAGAAGAGACGAACATATCACTATCTTGATAAGGAATAAGAACTCGTACACTATCCGTTTAAAACTTTCCCTCTTCCTCTTCCTCTTGCTCACCAATATCAGTTAATTTTTCCTGCCAAGATTAATTTGATGTCCAGAGCAAAGACAACAGCTGGCTAGCAATGGCTGCAGTCATGCACCACTGTTCAGATCATTCCCTTCATTAGGTTTCAACCGGATTGAGTAAAAACCAAGGATGAACCATTGACAAACAGAAAATATGATTGATCTCATATAATCTGCTGCAGCATTCTCTGGCAGCTTGAATCCTGTACAAATTCATCTAAGGAAACCCTGGAACAAAATTTTGTTATTTGTTTTGCTTTGTACATTTTGTGCTACCAGTAATCACCGCAAGAACAATGGCCATCTTTAAAGTGGTGGAAGCACTTGGGGTGACTCAAGTATATCTCACATCCATATTTCAGCGAGATATGTTTCGCCATCCGGTGACAATCACTGCACATTCTCAGGTTCTTCACAATCCTTATACTCCGAGGAACCACTGGTTGTGAGCAAACAAATGCAAAAGCTAATGCAAGCTTTTCACTGTGAACCCCAACAACTTCTTCCTTCTCTTCATCTGCAATGCACAAACCTTGCCTTCTTCCAATTTGTTTGACTTCAATAGATATCTGATCTATCCAAGCGAATAGGAGGTTCGAGTAAGGTTTAGACCGATCTCCCGAAACAAAAGAATGCACTTTATTTTTACTTTCAATCCAGCTCTCCCCAATAAGTTTGGGCAGTTGATGCTCATTTTGAAGCCTTTGCACTCTGAATGTGTCCTCCCGTGTTCCACGAAGAGCATACGCTTGTAAGACCAAATGGCGGATCAATGCATTTCCTGGTTCCAAGCCAAGAAGTCTTTCCCCTGCATGGATTCCCAAGTCGAGACAGTCGTGAACTCTGCTGGCAGTTAATAATCTAGACCACACTGATGAGTCGGGCTTCACTGGCATAGCCTCAATAAACCGTATTGCTTCTTCAAGCCTGCCAGCACGACCATACAAATCTACCATAGCTGCATAATTTTCAATGGCAGGAGTGAGTTGATCGTCTTCAATCATGGTAGTGAGAATATGCTTCCCCTCTTCAACATTCTCATTAAGGCTATGGGCGAGTATGATACTGACAAAAGTACTCTGCTCTGGCTTCAAACCCAACATCAACATCTGATCAGCAAGACTAAGGGCTTCATCCGAACACCCATGTAATACGTATGCAGCAATCATCGAGTTCCAGGTAATGAAATCTTTGGACTTCATTCGGTCGAACAAGGCTTTTGAATAAACTAGTTTCCCCGATTTGGCATAAGTATCGATAAGTGAATTTGGGATGGAGACTGCAGCTTCTAGGTTTCTCCGTAGCACAATGCCATGGATCTCTTTGACCTTTTTCAGTGCAACTAAATTTGCACAAGCAGGCAAAACACTCAGTATTGTTACAGCATTAGGACTGAAACCTGAAGACTGCATTTGTCTGAACATACAAAGTGCCTTCTGTTTCTGTCCAATATGCAAGTAACCAGCGATAAGAGAATTCCATGATGCTGTGTCACGCTTTATTTTTCCATCCTTTTCCATCTTGTGGAAGAGATCTGTGGCTTCATCTTCGTCTCCATTTTCTATATATCCCGATATCATTGTATTCCAAGTGATAACATCGGGTTGAATCTCGGAATTCTGCATCCTCGTGAATAGTTCATTGGCTTTCCCACTGTATCCTGCTTGAATATATCCTCCAATCATCGAATTCCAAGTGAAAACATCTTTCTCGGGCATACAATCAAAGACTAGCTGAGAAGCCTCCAGCTTCTCGCACTTTGAGTAGAAATCGATGAGTGCATTCCCGACAAGTACATCATCAATGCAACCTATTTCAACAGCCAGAGCATGAATTGCCATCCCATTGTTTAATAATTTCAAAACTGAACAAGCAGAAATTGCAGTTGCAATAGTAACTCCATTTGGTTCAACCCCAGACGAAATCATATCCTCAAACAAATCTAGTGCCTGAATTTGCCTGTTGTTTTGAGCATACCCAGAGATCATAGCAGTCCAAGCAACCACATCTGGTTCTATCCCGAATCTCACCATTTCTTCCATCAATTCCATTGCAACATCACACTGTCCATTCTGATTGTACCCAGTAATCAGTATATTCCAAGTTACCAAACCTGGTTCAACCCCTTCTTTACACATGGCATCAAACAATCTATGAGCTTCCTTGATCTCACCTTTCTGGCAATACCCAGATATCAAAGCATTCCAAGCAACTCTATCCGTCTTATCATCCATACCGTCAAAAAACTTCCTAGCTAATCCCAACTCCCCACATTTCGCATACACAGCCAGAATCGAATTATTCACTCGTGGGAAATCACCCATACCACATTTTACCACCAAAGAATGTAACAGCTTCCCAGTCCGAAAATCACCACAGTTGCCGCACGCTTGCAGGATCTTCGGCAGCAGAAAACCATCCGCCAAAATCCCATCTGCCATCATCATATGGAAAAGCCCCACGACTTCCTTCCACCTCTGATCCCTGCAGCAGGCACCGATCATCGCGGACCACGTGTACAAGTTTCTCTCCCGCATTTCATCGAACACCAAGCGGGCATCACGCAAGCACCCGCATTTCGCGTACATCCCGACCAGCTTCGTCTCGAGAAACGCCGACTTTTCCTCCGCCAGGCTAATTCTGGCGTGAATCTTCCGGCCCAAATCGACGGCATTGGAGTCGATGCAAGACTGGAGCAGCCCGATCAAAGTCTTGGAATTCACCTTCGTCCCATCCTGAGCCAGAGCGTCGAGAACCTCCACAGCCTCGCTTAGTCGCCCATTTTTGCGAAGGAAATTCAGGTGGGAGTCCGCCATTGCTGAATGCGGCTTCTTGGAGTAAGAAACGGAGGTGGGTTTCGGCGGGAAGGGCGAATTTTCCGGTACATTGTCTTGCCTAATTGGAATAGAGGAAGAAGGCGGCTTTGAAGTGCTGAGTAACATCGATGTCACCATTAGCGCTTCTTCAACATCCCCAAACGAGAATAACCTATGCAATGGTGGGTGGCCGGAGAGGCGACTGGTAAATTAAGCACTGCTTCATCCAGGCCGGAGATTGCCTTTCTGCGCGGGTATTTTGATTTTCTTTCCCAGAAGGATTACAAGAATTGGATAAGATAACGGATTTTCGGTCACGATTTCCTTGGAGTATTATATTATCGGGTCAATATTTCACAATAGTCATTAGTCAATAACTCGGATAATACCGCGGTATTTATTATTATCGTTAACTTATCGCGTTTCGAAACGAAACGTTTTGAGTTTCGGCATTTCTGATCGCGTTCTCTCCGGTCTCGCGCGGTTTGCCGGCATTTTTGGGTAGGTTTCCCCGCTATTTAGGGATGGCAACAAAACCCGAACCCACGGGTACCCACCCGACCCAACCCGGTCAACGCGGGTAAAATCCGTGTTGACGGGTTTGGGTTTAAACCCGTTCACTATTTACCGGGTTGGGTTAGGTTTGGGTTTAGGTAAACCCGGCCCGTGGGTACCCGCCCATCCATATAATTAATTTTTTCGGTATATTTAATAATCTAAACAACTAATCTTATTTATATTTGTGGAGACATGTCTAATTTATTCTTTTTAATTGTGTAGAATGAAGTTGATGTTATGGAGTGGAGTGGAGAGTAAAGAAACTTAATTGAAAGAAAGAAGCTTTCAATTAAACATGTTAGTTATGGATAATTTGTGATTTGCTTCAATTTTCTTGAGGTTTCTAGATTAGTGTTGAACAATTTGTATAGTTAATTTGTGATTTGCTTGAATTTTCTAGAATGATGTTTTATATATGGATAATTTGTATTGAGAGATTGATATTTGACTTTAATTTTGATAAGAACTTGTAATTGTAAATTTTTTATGACAAAACCCGTGGGTACCCATGAACCCGCGGATACCCAACGAGTTGGGTTGGGTTTGAGTTTTTCAAACTCAGTGAGTTTTACCCCGGGTTTTTTTCAAAGATAAACCCATGGATTTGGGTTTGGGTTTGGCAAAACCCGACCCAACCCGACCCATTGCCATCCCTACTCCTATTCCTTTCCTCCGCCGTCGTTAAAACCCTAATTCGCGCCCTCACGTCCACGTATTTTAATCCGACGGAAAGTCGGAGAGCGACAAAGCCAGAACCCAGAAACCTCTCATCTTGAGCCGGCGGGGGTTTTGAAATGAATTATTCATCCAATAGTTTAATTGGATTGGATTTTCTTACCCTCGTTATCCCCTGCCTGTTCTCTCCCTGTACTCTCCGATTCACTAGTCTTCCTAATTCTAGGATTCAGTAGGGTTTCCGCAGAAGAAGAAAAGAGAAGACCCATGTCGATCCCTAATGCCTTACAAATTTTGTTCCTCTTGGTGCCACTCTCACTGGCTTCTTCTTTTTGGAACCAGCCCTGTGCGGCTGATATGCGAATTGAGAAGTTCAGTTACTTATTTCGGGAGTCCAAGCATCACGTCTCTCAATGATTCCAGTGGCTTTTGCAGAGTACCAACTTGGAAACAGGAACAGCCAAGGTCGAAGCGGCATTAGGGGTTCTTGAGCGACGCATAGATTGTTGGGCTAATGGTCGACTTGATATTGATGTGCGGTGGCTGTGTTTAGCATGTGTGGTGTCTGTTGGAACCTGCACTATCAGTTTAATGGTTATGTTCTTTCTGTGCCGCTTCAGTTTGGATGGTTATGTCTTCAACCTTCCCATGGTGGATTATGATGTTCTATGGACTGAAAGAAAGACAAATTACAACTGCTATCTGCTGTCTCTCTCTCTAGTTTCTCTCTCTTGGCGGTTGCGATCTCTGGTTTGCCGGCGATCTCCCCGTCATGTGAGTCTCTGATCGGAGCCGAATCCTCTTCTACGGTGATCTCTTTCCTTCTCGATTGAGTTTGCTTCTGTTGCGATGGCATCCATTGGTCAATCTTGGGCCGATTTGTTCGGGATTGCGGAAGCGAACCGTCTGGTGTATATCGAACCAGAGCTCATTGATGGTGGATTGAGAATTCCGGAGGAACTAGTGAAAGAAGGCGAAGCTCGGTGGAAGAACAGTCTCGTTGGCCAATTCCTTCATTCTACTCCTTCGGTGAAGCAATTGCAGAGCTGGGCGAACAGATTATGGGGGAATTCTGGCATCGTTAGGGTTTCAAAATTCAGCGAGCAGCTCTTCCTCTTTCAATTCCCGAATGCGCAGGTTGCTGACTGGGTCTTCACTAGCGGTCCGTGGCATTTCAATGACGATATGTGTTTTCTGAGGCAGTGGTCTCCTGGCATTAGAGCAGTCAACTGTGATTCTACCATTCCTATTTGGATTTGCTTCCAAGATCTTCCTGTTGAGTTTGTGACTGGTCGAATCCTGACTCGTTTGGCTAGTATGGTGGGTAAACCACTTTGGTTTGATCAATCGACTAGGCTGGGTAGAAGAATGGGTTTTCCTAAGGTCTGTGTAGAAATGTCTATTGATTCGACTTTCCCTGCGATGTTGAAGTTGGTTCCTGATCACAAGCCGGCTTTTGAGGTGAGCTTGGAGTACTGTAATAGGCCTGTGGGCTGCCAGAAGTGTCGAGTTTTTGGGCACCAATGTGAGACTGTGGGTGAAGTGTGTGAGGAAGCAGTTACTGAGGCTGCAGGAGTGGGTACTGTGACTGGAAGTGCAGAAGTGGATTCTGTGGTTGGTAGTGGGAGTCAGATGGATTTAGACTTGATCCAGGCATCGAATGGCAAAGCTCAAGAGTCTGCAGAGGTTGCCTGTCGAAATCTGAATCTAGCTGTGGCCAACCTGGTCAAGTCAATTGAGCAGGGAGTCATATCTGAATGGCATAAGTCAGGGGCTGTGGTGTTGCCATCTGAGAGGGAGCTTCAGACAGCCATGACAGCTCATCCTTCTCCTTCTGCAGGAGGAGGTTCCACTACACCTGTAGCTAACAGATTTCAGGGGCTAGAAGTGGACTCTTTTGAGGTTGGGGATATCATGGTGAGTAGTCCAGTACTCCACAATCTGGATGAATTTCCTGAGTTAGAAGGAGGTGGGAAATGGAAAGGTAAGCAGGGTAAGAAAGGGCCAGGTCGGCCTGCAAAACCTAAATCGAAGAAATGAAGGTGCTGGCTTGGAACATTAGGGGATTTAATCACCCCGCCAAGCAAAGCCAGATACTAGAGGTAGTCAGTAGAGAGAATGTTGATATTTTTGGAGTTCTTGAAACAAGGGTGAAAAAAGAAAAGGCTAAAGAGATTGTGGACCTGAAGTTTGGTAGATGGGAGTGGGTACATAACTATGAATACTCAGATTTAGGTAGACTGTGGATTTTTTGGAAAAAAGATTTAGACTTCACTATTGTAGAGAAGTCAGAGCAATTTGTGCATGGTGAGCTCAGAGGTGTGCATCCTATTAGGGTTACTTTTGTGTATGGATCAAATGATGAAGGGACAAGAAGAAGCCTGTTTCATCATCCTGTTCTGCAGCCTGTTACCAATATCCCTTGGTTAATGCTAGGTGATTTTAATGCAGTAAGAACTGCTGAGGAAGCTTCAAATAATCCAGTTGTTTCGTCGAGCATGGTTGAATTTGATGACTGGATAACCCGAATGGAACTGGAGGAAAGTGCTTTTGATGGTCCCTGGTTTTCCTGGACGAATAAACAAGAGGGGAATCCCATTGCTAGAAGGATAGACAGGATTCTTGTAAATTCGAGTTGGTTGTCTGCTTTCCCAAATTATGCAGTCAAATTACTACCTCCAAGTCTTTCAGATCACTGTGGTCTATTGATGAATACTGACATTCAGCTTGCCTCATTGCCCAAGCCTTTCAAATATTTTAGCTGCTGGGAGAACCATCCTCAGTATAAGGAGATTGTAACAGCAGCCTGGAATAAGGGAGTCAGGGGGACTGCTATGTTTGTCATTTGTCAGAAGCTGAAAGAAGTTAAAAGGCAGTTGAAGAAGCTGAATCGTTCCTCCTATTCAGAAATTTCTGAAAGAGTTCGACAAGTTCGTTGTGAAATTGAAGGCTTGCAGATAGAGGCACTCCAGCAGCCATCCCTGGTGACTTTTCAGAAGGTAAATGAATGCCAAACTAGATTGTTTAGCCTGCTCAGAGAAGAGGAAGCTATATATAGGCAAAAATCAAGGCAAATTTGGGTGAATTCAGGGGATTTAAACACTTCTTTCTTCCACAACTCTGTTAAGTCTCGTCAAGCTAGGTCAACTATTAAAAAGCTCGTTTCAGAGGATGGGACAGTTGTAACTGATGCAAAGGAAATGAGTGGGGAAGCAGTTAGGTTCTATCAGGATTTGCTAGGCACAAAGAATCCAGATGTTCAGAAAATAAGCAGTGAGCTGATTTCTCAACTCCTGGTCCATTTTCTCTCTCCTGAGCAGGCTGTTCCTCTTTGTTCTCCAGTCACTAGGGAAGAAGTGAAGACTGCTCTTTTTTCTATGAATGGAGATAAGTCTCCTGGGCCAGATGGCTTTACAGCCAGATTTTTCCAGCATAATTGGGAGATTGTGGGAATGGAAGTAACTGATGCAATCTTGGATTTCTTCAGAACAGGGAGACTCCTCTCAGAGGTAAACTCTACTTACCTAGCTCTAATTCCTAAAGTACAGAATGCTGAATGTATGAAGCAATTTAGGCCAATATCGTGTTGCAATATTCTGTATAAGTGTGTTGCTAAAGTTCTGGCAAACAGACTTAAGGAAGTACTTCCTAGTATTATTAGTCAGAATCAGTCTGCCTTCATTAAGGGGCGACTGATTAGTGATAATATACTCCTTGCCCATGAGATGGTTAGACTTTACAACAGGAAAACCATATCCCCTAGATGTGCTTTGAAAGTTGATGTGATGAAGGCATTTGACAGTGTTGATTGGGGTTACCTAAAAACTGTAATGACTGCTATGAAAATACCTAGTCAGTTCATCAGTTGGATTGAAGTTTGTCTTCATAGTACCAAGTTGAGTGTTAGTTTCAATGGAGGGTTAGTGGGCTATTTTTCTGCTCAAAAGGGACTGAGACAGGGGGATCCTCTCTCCCCCTATCTCTTTACCATTGCTATGGAACTCCTCTCCTGCATGTTAAATAGGGCTTATGCCATAAAGACCCTCCCTCCCCACCCTCAAACCCATAGAATTGGTCTATCCCACCTGTGTTTTGCTGATGACCTCCTGGTTTTCACAAAAGGGACTCCTGAGGCTGTTGGGAAAGCTAAAACTATTTTAGATGCATTTTATATTGTATCTGGGCTGAGGTGTAACCCTGCTAAGAGTGAGGTATTCTGTGGAGGGGTGGAAGCTAGGGTGCAGACTCAAATTTCATCTAGAATAGGTTTTGCTATTGGGAAACTACCTGTGAGATACTTGGGGATCCCTCTTATAGCTGGGAAACTCAATACTGCTGACTGTCAGGCTTTGGTTGACAAAATAACTGCAAGAATTAGGGGTGGAGGGTGAAGACTCTGACTTATGCTGGCAAAATGCAGCTCATTACTGCTGTCATTTCCAGTATAACTCAGTACTGGATGGGGATTATTCAGCTGCCAGCTAAGGTGATTAAATTGGTTGAAAAAACATGTTCTGACTTCTTGTGGGGTGCGGAGGAAGAGGGAAAGAGGGCTAAAGTTCACTAGCAAATGGTAGCAAGGCCTAAGAAAGAAGGGGGGTTAGGTTTTAAAGACTTAAGGAGCTGGAATATGGCTTGTTTGGTAAGGCATCTGTGGGCCATATCTTCAAATTCTTCCTCTCTTTGGGCGAGTTGGGTCAGGCACTACCAACTCACATATACATCGATTTGGGATATACCTACCTCCATACCCTGTTCATGGGCTTGGAGGAAGGTACTGAAGATTAGGCCAATAGTGGCTCAACATCTTACAGTTAGGTCGGCTGGTGTGTTCTGGGGGGACTGTGTGATGGAGAAATTTTCAGTTAAGAAGGTATGGGAGACTATTAGAGATAAACAGGAAGCAGTACAGTGGTTTACTTTGGTTTGGAAGTCTTTTGGGACACCGAGAGATAAGCTGCTTGTCTGGCTGATCATCTTAAACGGGATCTCTACCCTGGACAAAGTGCAGAGATGGAATAGTGCAGCGGTCAATCTCTGCTCGTTATGCTCTTCAGCGGCTGAGTCCAGGGATCACCTTTTCTTTGAGTGCTCTTATTCTCAGCTGGTGTTGCAGGCTATCTTTGCAGGTAGGAACGTGGTGGGGGCAGATTGGGAGGCTTCATTGGCAACAGCCATCTCATTATTTAGGCTGAATTGTGCTTCCTCTGACCGTGATAGACTATTATGGGTGATGGTGGTAGCTGAGCTTTGGAGAGAGCGTTGCAGAAGAGTTATGTCTGGTGAAGCTCTGTCAGCAACCCAGGTTTTGAAGAAGCTGCAAGGACTGATACGTTTGCTCAGGAATGGTTCCTCTCAAGTTGAGATTGCTATTACAGAAGATTATGTGAATAGTATAGTGTAGCTGGGTGTCTTTTGGGTTCACTTTTCTTTCTTGGAAGTTTTTTTTTCTGTTAGTAGTTCTGGTCAAGAATTGATTTTCTTGTACTTTGTAATTGAGGTTTCTGGGTTCCAGTTGGGGGGATTGTTTTTATATCCCTCCTTCTTGATGAATAAAATTGCTTATTCATCAAAAAAAAAAAAAAAAAGAAAGACAAATCCTCCATGTCCATTTCTGCTGAAAATGATTGAGCCTGTCCCTTCGGGTAACAATGAGGTCTGTCATGTCATTCTGGAAAATGGGTTAGTGGACGGAGTGGGTCTTCTAGAAAGAAAATGGGAGAATCTCAGCATTTAGAATGTAAACTCATTTCCAACGCTCACAGAGAAAGATGCTTCATGTAATGACAGAATGTGGTACTGATCCTTCTCTACAAAGTTCTCTGCCCTTCAATCCCTTCCCTTCTTGGTGGAGTTGGAATCTTCGATCTTATGTAAAGGTGGATGCTTTTCTGATAGGACTCATGATCAAGAGTCTTTGGCATTTTCCTTTTCAGGCTGCTTTAAATACTCCTCAGCTCCTCTTCCATTTCAGGCCAACATCCGTCTCCAAGGACTGAAGGCTACTCCTGAGAACGCATCAAGATATGGTAGCCATTTACAGTGTTCAATTGCCTTCATTCTCTGTATAAGATCTCTTGATATGGAATAATCATAAACTTGAGATTTCAAGTTTTTGTTGCAGAGCGGTGACAACAGAGAGAAGAAACCAGTCCGGGTCGGGCCATGGGGTGGCCAGGGCGGTTTCGGATGGGACGATGGCGTATATTCCGGAGTCAAGCAACTGGTTATAGCTCATGGATCAGGCATTGACTCCCTCCAAATTGAATATGACAAGAAAGGCGCTTCGATTTGGTCAGAGAGACACGGCGGCAGTGGTGGCAACAAAACTGACAAGGTTGGTTAGTCCAATTAAACATAGTCGTATTTACATGGTTCATGTATAAACTTCTTAATATCTTTTGTATGAGAACTGTTGATGATGAAGGGTCTTTGTTTCTAGTGAACCTTCAATTCAAACTACCAAAACTGTTTCTTTCTTGCAGGTCAAGTTGGACTACCCCAATGAGTTTCTTACTTCTGTCCATGGACATTACGGCAGCTTGTACGAATGGGGCCCGGTCATGGTTCGATCATTGACTCTTGAAACCAACAAAAGAAGATTTGGACCATTTGGAAATGAACAAGGCACGTATTTTTCTATCCCAACGGCTGGAGGAAAGATTGTTGGGCTCCATGGAAGGAGCGATTGGTATGTGGATGCAATTGGGATACACCTTAAGCCTGCAAAGCAAGAACTGAAGGCTCCTTCCAAACCTCTGGTTCAGGCCAACAATTATGTGAATGGTGGGACTGACAAAGCTGGCTACTCGGTTCTCCAAGGGAGTGGTGATGGCAGTAACTATGATATTGTGGTTGCCGTGAGACACAAGAATGATCATTCCAAAGTCTCGCATCCACAGCAGAGCCCCCTGCCCCTGGAGGCCAACAATGCTTCAGGAAGCTTAGACAAGGTGAAACAAGCTTCTAGTCCCAACTTTTAGTTCAGCGTTTCTCAACTTCCTTTTTGTGAAACTCCAGAATGCTTTGACGATATAGGTGGTTAAACCTGAAGGGAAACCCTCCAAAACTGAAGTGCCAGCCTCAAAAACTGATGGGGTCTTAAGGTATGGACCATGGGGAGGACATAATGGTACTGCGTTTGATGATGGGACATACACTGGGATCAGACAAATTTATGTTTCGCGAAACGTTGGAATTGTGTACTTAAGAGCTCAATACGACCGTGACGGAGAGCCGGTTTGGGGAAGCAGACATGGTGGCACAGGAGGGTTCAAAACGGACAAGGTGAGAGAAACATGGAGTACATCAATGTTTGACAAAAACATCCTGCAACATTTAACTCTTAACATAAGTACATTAGTGTTTGACACACAAAGTCTTCTTCCCTCTTGTTGCAGATAATGTTTGACTACCCACAAGAGATTCTGACACACATCACAGGAACTTACGGCCCCTTGATGTACATGGGTCCTAATATTATAAAGTCATTAACTTTCTACACCAACAAAGGGAAACATGGACCATTTGGAGACGAACAAGGTCCATCTTTCACTAGCAAAATTGATGAAGGCAGAATCGTCGGGTTCCATGGAAGGGAAGGGTTTTTCTTGGATGGTCTTGGAGTTCATGTGCTGGAAGGGATTGTGAAGCCGCCGAAGAGCACTTTCTCTGATGCAATTGTCAAAGCTGGTGGCGATCATCACGTTGCAGAGATTGACAACTATCCTTGCAGCAGAAGAGGTTTAGTTTATCCTCTATGATTGACCTCTACCTTCTAATAACTTAAATTCCAAATGGATGAAAAGTTATGATTCTTTGTTTCTTGCAGGTATCTTATGGAGTGTTGAAGGAGCCTGTTCCTCAAGGACCAGGTCCATGGGGAGGAGATGGAGGAAGGCCTTGGGACGATGGAGTTTTCTCCGGGGTGAAACAGATATTTGTCACAAGGACTGCAGATGCCATTTGTTCCATACAGATCGAATATGATCGAAGTGGGCAGTCTGTTTGGTCTGTCAAACACGGTGGCACTGTGGGAACTGCCACTCACAGGGTATTCATTGACTTCTCTTTTCGCCAATGTTTAAAATGTTCTAAAACATGAAATTGAACTGATGCGAAAGATTTCCTCCTTTTGTCCATGATGCCACAGTTGAAACTGGAGCACCCACATGAATTCCTGGTATCGATCTCGGGGTACCACGGTTCGACGAACAGAGAGGACAAGCACAAGTTCGTGAAGTCGCTGTCGTTTCAGACCAGCAGGGGGAAGTACGGGCCGTTTGGGGAAGAGGTTGGGACGTTCTTCACTTCTCCGACGGCGGATGGCAAGGTGGTTGGCTTCCATGGGAGGAGCGGGGCTTACTTGGACGCCATTGGTGTTCATATGCAGTACTGGCTGGGAAGTAACAACAGACCATCGAGGCCTTCCATCTTCAAGAGGTCCGGTTGGGCCGATTGATTGATCATTGGATTTGGCTCGATACGATGTTTGTTTGAACCAATTGGTTTATGACGTGGATGTGGTGAATGAGTTAGATTGAGTGCGAGTGGATTTGGTATGTTCTTGAATAATTATGCAGGCAGAAGAATAAAGTGGGGAAAATGTGATGTGTAGTTTAATGATGTGATAGTTCCCTCCATGAATTCATTGCTACATTGTCACCCATTTGAATATGTTTGTGGTTGCTCATTGACTTTGGCTTGGTGAACCGTTTGTAATCCAACTGAATGAAATGACAATGGAGTGTTGTGATTGATTTCTGTTTTCTTAATTTTGTTGTGTGAGGTACGACCAACACACAGCTTTCCATATCTGGGTCCAATGGCCAATGGGCTTCTCACATAGCTTCCTACGAAGGACTGCAGGTGCTCAAGGTGATAGACTAGTAGCACACTAATTGGGCTTGCAGCCCACTATCACCAAAACATGTGATTGAGTTGGCAAGAATACGGTATCTAAAGTAAACAAATATTACAATTTGATCCTATAACTACTCTATATACTAACAAAGAACAACAAGCACCACCAACATTTGATTTTGGGTTCATATGCTAGAAATGCAATCTCCTCCATCAACATACGGATTCTAAGGAAAAGCCAAGTTGCTAAATATACTTCAAAATTATAATGATCGAAATCTCATCTGATTAGCGCCTATTTGATTTTGGAATCACATTTTTTGAAAAATTATAGGGTACAAATTTTTTTTGTACAAAACTCTACAAATCCCGATCATATCACTATTGTATCAGGATGGTATGATTGGGAGGTTTAATTTGTAGGTTTTGTACAGTAATCCAAATAATATTTTTACCTTTTTAATTAGGTAGTATTGGTTCAAACTTCCGACTCCATCTATTTGAAGATAGAGAGAAGCCATGAACATTGAGAAATAATAATATAAGCTATTTCATATGGGAGAAGTGAAATATATATTATACTACTTCTCCTCCATGCAAGTCATGCATATAATATAAATAATGGATCATATATTTGTACCCATTAAGAGACTAAAATGGACCTGTAATATCTCGATCTTCCCAAATCTTTAGGACTGGCATCACATATCTTACCAAACATCTACATAATCTTCAAGAAAACAACAATTAATTAATTGCATGAAATTACTTATTTTAAAAACTTGGATTACTAATAAAGTATATTGCATATTTGCATGCATGTATTCATTTTGGCTATGCCGTGAATCACATGCATACACGTATTATTAGCTTTAAAACCTTTTGATTGTATGACAAGCCATCTCTTAATTTGCTCACACGCATACACAAAGTTAAGAAGGCGCTAGGCACCAAAAAGGTTTTGGAGTCTTGTCTAGCGCTTAACATGCATAAGCCTCGTCTAGACGGTGTTTAGGCGTTTTAATCAATTTTTAGCAGTATTAGCAAATTTATAGCATTTGTTTACTTTAGTTGAATTTCAAATGATTAATAGCTTAGATAACTCTCAACAAGCAAGCAAAATAAGACATGATTTCTTAGAATCACAAGCTTATAGAATTTGTGGGTTGTGGTTTCCTTACGGACGATGGCATCATAAAGAGGGACAGAGGGTCGGGCCGAGTGAAGCTGGAGAAGAACTACAAATTTTGTGCATTGTGGCTGCTCTGCAGTCGGCAACAACTAAAAGCGGGGCAGAGGGAGAAATGATCGAGCGAAAAAAAGAAGCCGTTGCAATTCATGAGTTATGAGTCTTTATCTCATTGACCTAAATTCACAATTCAAAATTGAGAAAGGAGTGAAAAACACGTTGAATATAAGACAACTATAGAGATGAATTCGTACTTGAAAGATTAGCCATAATTTTTTAATCCTTGGTTTACCAATGTGCTTAAGCACGAATCACCTTGATTAATCATACTTCATGTTAATTAATCATACTCAGCTTCACTTAGACGCCACCGATTAACCGATACATTACGAATAACTAATTATCCACTTAGGACCTAAGCAAAACATTTGATCTTTACGCAGAATTACGTCTTCTTGAACCCTACTATACAAGTGAATCCTATATAAAAATTAAGTTTTATTGTTCGAATATTGATAATTACCTCAGTGTGACTGAGATTTAATTGCGTGGCATGAGATCCTCCCAAAAACTTCAAAACCACGGGATAGCAGAATTTGGAATGCACAATATTTCATTGAACAAACGAAAGCTACAATATTATCTCAAAAACCTTGTTTTAATTTTGCATATCGGCCCCTTTTCTTGAGCTACCAAACTTACATCATAATAATCACCCAACTCTCTTAATCATGTCTCAGAGCGACTGATCATTTTCTTATAATATTATAGTTCAGGTTATCATATTCGATTTGTTAGCCAGACGAAGTTAATTTCCAAGAATTTGATCAGGTTAAGAGATAAGAGTTGGCTCATGCGATCGAAGGAGCAATAACAAACGTGTACGCATGCTTGTCGACTCTTTTTTCAGAAATTATGTACGTATGCGTAAACATGTAGTGCATTTACGGCAAAGGAGAAACCAGTTTGGGAGAGAGAGACAAAAACAGAATCAATAAATAAGATCTGTTTCAAATTGGGCAAGATTTCTATTCGATCCTTCTGTATTGATTAGATGTTTATTATGTACTTCATTTTCGTTAGGTGACTCGTATATATGGTTTTTTCTTGGGGTGAGATAGCGTCACTTCCTCTGTTTCAGAATCGGACTGGAAGTTGAACTAAAAAAGTTGGTGATTTAGGGTTCAGTGGTTAACCGTTAAAAAAATCGTTGGTGAAACGTTGATAGAACCGTTCATGATATATAACATGCAATACTTGTATATTACACTAATTTAAAAATGAATTTATCATTGACCATAAACAATTTCAAATTCATATCATCACAAAAATATATAATAAATCATTCAAACCGTCTCACAAAAGAAACCATAATTTTTTAATTCAAATTAAAAATTACAGTGTCAGTCGATAGTGGACAACGTAAAGTCGACAACAAGGTTGAAATATGAGAAGAAGAAGCATATATAAAGTTTTTTTTTATAGAGGTGACGATTTTATTATGAAGAAAAAACAACGTAAATTTTGGTGGAGATCACGTTTGGAGGGAGTTGCTGGTCTTGAAAAGTTCCACTGGTGGTGGACAACGTAAAGTCGACAACAAGGTTGAAATATGAGAAGAAGAAGCATATATAAAGTTTTTTTTTTTTTTGATAGAGGTGACGATTTTATTATGAAGAAAAAACAAGGAACTTTTCAAGTAGCATGGAGAATGCACTTCCACCACCACCAGTGGTAGCTCACCACTATCACTGGTAGCGCTATCACAAGTAGCATGGAGAATGCAGTAACAATTGGACCGCTATTATAACGGATTTGACGATTCTACTGGCTCGGCCGTTGATCCGGTTCGATTCTTATAACAATGTTCCCTTCACTCAATGGTTGTAAGTTTCACAACTCAGGGTAATTTGGGTAGTCCAACAAAGAATCTTATTAATTACTTTCCTTTTTGTATTAATTACATTTTGGGAATTTAAAATTCATATTAAATTCATTGTTTAATCTTAAATTTAAATCCTACCAAAAATATATTTCTCTTTTCATATTTCTCTTTTCCTTTTCCAGCAGCCACTCCACTCCGATCGGCTGACTTTCCGACCGACATACTTTCTCCAGTGAAATCCTTGAGTCATACTCGCTCCGACCTCTTGCAAAAAATTACCACTCTGTTAGTGTGCTAGTGGTACGCTACCACTACCATCGGTACCACTACCAGTGATAGTGGTGAGCTACCACTGGTGGTGGTGGAAGTGGTACCACCACTGGTATGGTATCATATGGAAATCACTACCACTAGAGACTAACACAAAAAAAAAAAAAAAAAGATCTGAAATATGAAAATCAATATCTAGAAAAAAAAAAGGATGAGGAAAAGAGGAGGCTGTGACCTTGCGAGGGGGACCTCGTGGCGGTGGTGGTGGGAGGCGGAGGAAGGGGGAGACAGAGGGCACGATAGGGTATGGTGGGGGCGCGAGAGGGTTGTGGAGGGGGCAGCGGTGGCGGTGGTTACTGGGCGGAGGAGTTGAGGAGAGGGAAGGGGATAGCGACAGCGTGAAGACAGCGGTGGCGACGAGAGAACGTCGCTGATAGGAATAGGGGATGGTGGTGACGGCAGAACGATGAGAGGAGGATGGCTGCTCCATTCAAGTTAGAGGGAGAGAGGAAGAAGATGGATCTGTTAGGGTTAGAGGAAGAGAGAGGAGAGAAATATGTAGAGTTATTAGGGGAGAGAGATCTGATGTGGTTATTTTTTTGGTCGAAAAATACCACTTGATTAATCTTCTCCATCCATTCAAAAAAAGGAGAGATAATAAATCTAGTGGCTAAGAGGTGTGTAGCGCATCTCACAACTCTTAAAAGGAAAGTGACGATATCTCACCCTTTTTCTTAATGGTGAATGATGCTATTATAATTTAATGTATGTCGTACATCATACAATCTTCATCGCACACTTCCATTTCAATGGTCAGTATAATTGTTTTTTTTGGGATTTTAACATATATGTGTATATTGTATACAAGAGAAAACAATAGTGTTTACTATACTGCTATAGATAATTATTACCAAATAGTTTTCATATATAGAAAAACTATAATATTATTGAGTAGCTAGTCTATAACTAGTTTTGAATGGTGGCTGACTATTATCCTCACCCTCTCTAACATAAGATTTAGATTGAGGTACGTTATTACACTTTACCTGTTGTATTTGAAATTTGAATTTTATCTTATTATCTTAGTAAATATTAGGGCAAATACAATATAATATCCATAACTATTATGGATCGGAGATTTATATCCTCAACTATCAATATACAAATTAATATCCATAACTATAGTTGCGGGTCAAGATATGACTAACAGTCTGTTACCACCGTTAAATTTGTAACGGAGACTGCCATGTCAGCATCCACATTGGCGTCCACATCAGCAAATAATTAAATATATAATTTTTATTTTTAAATTAAAAAAATTAAAAAATTAAAGTTGAAAAACAAACTCAACCACTCTCCCCTCTTTTTCCCCCTATCTTCCTCCACCGTCACCTTGCTTCCTCCGCCCTCCCCTGTCTCCCTCTTCTTCTTCTTCTTCTTCTTCTTCTTCTTCTTCTTCCCCTATCTTCCTCCACCGTCCCCTGGCTTCCTCCGCCCTCCCGTCTCCCTCTTCTTCTTCCCCTATCTTCCTCCGCCCTACCCA